GTGAGCCTGTCTCCTGCCAAATGCTTCGTGAAAGGACTTTTGCCCTGTCAAAAACAGCACCCACAAAAATATTTTTGTTTTGGCTGGAGGGAGACCTTCCTGAGCCTGGTTTAGGTAGTGGCAGCCAGTCCTTCAGGTTCAGGTAAAAAAAGCCAGTACACTGTTTTTATGAAACCATGGCTGGAAATGAGGACCAGCTTCCACTGCAAATGTAGGCAAGTCACCGCCCAAAGGCAAACATCAGATCATGAGTATGGAGGGTTTTGCTCATGCTTGGGGATCTATTCAGTCATTCCTGGTCTGGGTAACCTGCTGCATGTGGAAAGGAACCTTGGGATGTGGTCTTCACCCTTGTCTGGCACTAGGTATAGGTGTTGCTGTGCCTTTGTCACACCAGTTTTGACTTTTAACAAAATCCAAGGACCAAGAAGCATGGGAGCCCACCACCTAGACAGGACTAAGCTTCTTAAAAAACAAGTGCCACCGAGGTGTGTAAATCACCATCCTGCATAGTGGTGAGCACATCATTGATCCCAAGGGGTCGTTGTTTCCTCCTATATGCTTCTGGGGTGGTGATGGAGATGGCTCACTTCTGAGATGGTCAAATCTGGGGTCCCACATTGTCTTTGCATGCTCCCCAGACACCAAAGAGTGGATGGGGAGCAGGGCTCCATCCCTCCCCCTATTCTTACTTCCTCCTGGATCAGGTTTGAGAAAGCAGGTGAACATTATCTATCTTTCTTTCTATCTATCTATATCTATCTATCTATCTATCTTTCTATCTATCTATCTATCTATCTATCTATCTATCCATCCCTCTATCCATTCATCTATCTATCTATCTATCTCTCTGTCTATCTATCTATCTATCTATCTATGCATCCATCTATCTATCTATCTACCCGTCTATCTGTCTGTCTATCTATCTTTCCATCTATCCATCCATCCATCTATCTATCATCTATCTATCTATCTAATCACGTTGTATATAGGGGGTTCTGGTTCCTAGACCCATTGTACAGATGCCCTACTCCAAGGACAAACCCAGTACTTAACTTTTAGCAGGGTTTTCCATTAGCACAAGAGCCACTGAAGCCTCTATGGTTGTGTGACTTACGAGAGAGTTTCTCTGTCTGCTCTCTCTCTAATAAAGGCTTGAGCTGACATAGGATTGAGCTTTCTCTCACCTGGACATCTTCTTTCCATTAGACTTAAAGACCTCTCCAGACTAAGATACATCCCACCTCTCTGCAAGCACCTGCAGTGGAGCCACCATCAGCTGGTTAGTTGCCCTTGACTTTTGTAGTCAAAAGAGAGGAAGAGGCAGATTGACTTTTGTAATCAAAAGAGAGGAAGAGGCAGATTGACACCACAATTCACCTCATCATAAGGAGGACGTCCAAACTTGGTCAAGTGAGTCATGCCTGATAAAGGGAGCTCTTTGCGTGAATCCTGCTGATGGATCTGGTATTGGCGTTGCTCAGAGAGGGCGTTGGACCTTCAGAAGTCCCTTCCAGCCAGCATCCCTGTGCTGCTATGACTAGCTGAGAGGAAGGCACAGATGCCAGAGAGAACCAAAGGGAGATGAATCCTATCCTAAAAAACACCCATAAACTCCTGGCCCACATCTCTGAGAAGCTTCAGTTATGTTTTCTGGACGTGTCTTTGCTAAGGGAAGATACACCCTTGCATAAACCACACAACCACCACCCAGGTTCCCCATTCAAAGCAGCTCAGTAGTGTTCTAACGCACACCCAGCAAAACACCCAACCCACACAAGAGCTCTGTGGGTAATGAGGATATCACCCCTTGTCAAATGACCAGCTGCTTAAAGAGTCTCATTAGACACAGAAATCGTTAATTGTGTTAAAACTCCTGGTGGTGGCATCCTGTGCTCAGGGACCTGTATCACACACCCAAGAGTGAGTTAAATTACTCAGCTGGTAAATAGCCTGCAGAGGTATCGGGGAGTTTTAGCTGATTTAAAGAATTTTTGCAGGTTGTTCAAGCATGACTGACAGCATTTGGCACATACATGGGTCCTCTTAATTAAAATTATTGGGTTTTCAGCTTCTCGAGGCTGATGTGGTAAATGTTGCCCCTGCGTAACTGACATGGAATCTCTTCTGCCAAGAGTTGCAAAGGTGTGTGCAGACCCACACAAACGACAGAGCCAGTACAGAAGTTTCTGATTCCTAAGTCAACTCTCAGTAGAGCTGAGGGTCTTTTTTTTTTCAGCTGACAAATTTACTTATCCCTAAAAAGTATAATCAGACAACACTCAGTCGACAGTGTAAGTCACTGACAGCTTCTTGCAAATTCATGTCAAATAGAAAAAAAAAAAGTCAAAATATTTTGGTATTTTCAGAAGAAAATAGATCACTTATTCATTTCATTTCAATGTGATAGATCATTCTGAAATCCTAGTGCTCATTTTTAAATAAATTTATATTCACTCTTAAATGGAAACAATGTTTTACTTTTATTGAAAATGATGTTTGTTTCTTACCAGTGTTTCATTTTCATTCAAAATGCATATCAATATAACTTCCAGTTTCCCCCAAATTATTTCAACTGAGCTTGTCTAAAAAATAAATAAAAAAGTAATTCTCCTCAACCATTTATAATCTTCTTTTCTAGGACAATTGGCCCCAGCATGTTTCAGCTTGTGGATTTACAGCGAACTTTGCTGATTTCTCCAAGTTTCAAACCTATCTCCTGAGCTCTAAAACCAGAGATCAGACTTTGCAGAAGTTTCTGTTCTTCTAGCATTGAATGATTCTCAGATTTGAATAGGAAATAGCAATTAATAAGGCTGAAATCAAAGGCAGCATATTTTGTAGTCATGAAATAAATGAACTTTCGCTGTGTTTATATTATATGTATAATATAGCAGGAAGTAAAGTTCAAAGTCATGTTCATAAAGAACTTGGCAATTTGTGTGCTTGGAAGGAGCAAGTGGGTTCATGGGAGGTAACTGAAGAATGAAGTTTAGATTTTTAGCTGGTGTAAATCAGCGTCTTTCCTTTGACTTCAGTGCAAAGGTAACAATTTACCTCAATGGAGAAGCTTGTTCAAGGGTTTCAAGAGAGAACAGATATAGTAAAACACAATATAATATTTGTTTTCTACTAGTTTTCTGCTGAAAAGTATTTGCCTGATGTTTGTTCTCTATTTCCAAGTGCTGGGAATAACTCAGAGGAACAGGATCCCAATTCCCAGCATTGTTAGGACAAGGTGTAAAGGTAAGAATGATGTTCAGAGCTGGTTCCTGCCCTGCTGATCAGCCAAAGTGGTGAGTATCAGACTGGGGATGCCCAGAGAGCTCAGCCTTTGGGTACCAGCACCTTCCTGAGCCCCCAAATTCCCAAAATGTTTACTTGAAGGCTATAAAAATCCCCCAGTGCACCAGATGAGTGAAGGGGAAACTGAGGCATGACTAGATGGAATAACACATCTTGAGTCTCGTAGTGAGAGTTCATTGCAGCCTTGCTGCTCCCTGCCTGAGCTATACTCTGAACTCCCATGCTCACACAGGGTGAAAATTCTTCCCAGCACAGATTCCACCCCTATGCAAAGCTGAGATAAACTCACCAAATACTGCCATCACCAGAGAGAGAAATCGAAGCAAATTGGTATGAGATAGCAACGTGGTGAGACCAGACATCCACAGCCCTGATCCACTACACGGAGGATACCTCAGCTCTCAAGGCACAATCAATCCTGGCGAATTATCCCATTGGGGTGGCCTCAGTGAGGTGTCTGACAGCCTCAGGCTCCAGCTGTACCCCTGGGGACAGCCAAAATGCTGGAGGTACATCAACCTCAGCAGGTCAAAATCAGTCCCGTGGTCACAGTGCTGTTTCTATTGACTTGAGAGGCAGCCTCGAGCAAAAGGATGGGAAAAATCATGAGAGAAAGTGCCGAGCTAGCTATAATGTTTCCCTGGCTGCAGGGTTAGCTGGACAGAAGTCGCCAGTGGGCTGTGGGACACGTGGGTCCAGCAGGTGGAGGGACAGACCTCCCTGCTTTGCTGAGCTTATCATCAATATTAATAAGTTATTTTAATTCCCCTCCCCCCCAGGTTTAGTTACACCACTGCAGAGGGTCAATCAAGTGCCCTGAGTTGGGTGCCTGTGGTCAGACGAGGTGGTGAAGAAGAGCACTTGCTTTCCTGTGCTTCCCGGGTAGCATTGGTGCTGGAAGGGGACGTTGCCTTGGACATCCCACTTCTCGGTGGGCTCTGCGCCCGCTCAGCCTGCTCTGCATGCAAAGGGCTGCATCCTTTACACCCAGGCAAACAGCTTGCCAAAACTTTAAAGCACAACCCACCAGACAACCCCAAACAAGCACCCAGTAACATGGGCCAGAGGAGGTGGATCAGTCCTGGGAAATCACCTACGACCATCACCCTTATAGATAAGACCTGGTCCTGCTCCAGGTGTCCACACAACATTGGTATCCTGGGAAGTCAGAGAGACTTAGGAGTCAGACTCTGACATGCTCCTTGCGGGGATCAAAACTCACTCATCCCTGGCATCTCCATGAGTTCACAGCAGAGGCAGGAGCCCTGAGCTCACAGAGATGGATCGAGGTGCCCTCCCTCGAAACAGGAGGAAGAGAGCCTGGGGACAGGGAAGGCAAAACTGTTTGGAGACCACTGTGTCGTAATTACAGCTTGTTTGAAACAGAGCTGCTTCCTCCTTAGCCTGAACTTTGTTAATTAAACTGCTGAATGCAGAATGAGCTAATTAAACCAATTACTGTGCTGCTATTTTATTCATTTGCTATTTACTTTGACTGATTACATGGCTCTGATTAATAAATATTGAACAAGTGTTAATTAATAGAATTAATTCATTGCTGATTTATTCTCCTGCCAGTTCCCTATCCCTCGCCTCCATGAATGAGTTATGCCCTGAAAGTTTGATCCAAGGAGCAGGTCCCCAGGGGTTCAGCCACAAGCTGTGGGGCTGGGATGGGGAATTGGATCACTTACCAAAAGGTAGGACGAAGAAGAAGGGGAACCAGCAGAGGATGAAAACACCCACGACGATGGCAAGAGTCTTGGCTGCTTTTTTCTCACGGGAGAACTTGAGGAGCCGCACAGAGAGGGAGCTCCTGAAGTTGTGCCCCTTGCTCCGGCTGCTGGAGAGAGGCTCCTCCAGCACGCTGCGACAGTGGATGCGCAGTACCACCTCCATGGATTTATTCCTCTCCTTCTTGACCCCAGCCTCCAAGCTCCGGGTGGTCCGCCTGGCCACCACGTAGATCCTGAAGTACATCACCAGGATGACCATGAGGGGCAGGTAGAAGGAAAAGAGAGAGGAGAACAAGGCATAGCCCGGCTCCTCTGTGATGCTACAGATGCTCTCATCAGGTGGTGGCGGCTCCTTCCATCCGAGCAGTGGCCCGATGGAGATGACCATGGAGGAGAGCCAGACCACCACAAGGATGACCCCTGCCTTCCTCTCAGTCATGATTGTGGGGTACTTCAGAGAGTACTTGACGCCGATGTACCTGTCCACAGAGATGATGCACAGGCTCATGATGGAAGCAGAGCAGCACAGCACGTCCACCGCTGCCCAGATGTTGCAGAAGATGCGCCCGAACACCCAGAACCCCAGCACCTCCAAGGTGGCCGAAAAGGGCAGCACGGTGGTGCTGAGCAGCAGGTCTGCGATGGCCAGGTTGACGATGAAGTAGTTGGTGACCGTCTGCAGGTGCCGGTTGCAAGCCACCGAGAGGATGACCAAGATGTTCCCCACAATGGCCGAGAGGATGAAGACGGCCCCGACGCCCACTGCTTGCACGTCCAAGGCAAAAGTCAGCGTGGTGCCGTTGCCCTCGGGGGTCTCCTCACCCTGCAGCCCCCAGGACCGGTTGGCACCGCTCTGGCTGCCCTGTCCCGTCCGGTTCCCACTCAAGCTGCCATTGCTCAGCTCAGGGAAAGTCATTGTAGAAAAGGTCCGGGCTCCATGGAGGGCGAGGAGAAAGCGATGCCGAGGCTCAGCCCCCCCGGCATGATCCCCGCTGCCCCCTCCGAGACTCG